CCCTTTCCCCCCTCCCCCTCCGCGGCTTTGGCCGGTGAAATGTTTGATTTCGCTTTTCATCTTTAATTGGGTTGGGCGTGTTCTCTTGCCGGGTGGAGTGAAAACCTGAAGGCGTCTCTCCTCTCTCTCTCCTCTTTCTCCTCTCTCTCGCCTCTCTCTCTCCTCTTTCTCCTCTCTCTCGCCTCTCTCTCTCCTCTTTCTCCTCTCTCTCGCCTCTCTCTCTCTCCTCTTTCTCCTCTCTCTCGCCTCTCTCTCTCGCTCGTTTTAGAATGATAAACCAGTGACTACTGTAGGCATTAGGGTGTTATCCACACAGGATGCCTCCACCTGGTCGTTATAGCAATCAGATACATCCTCGTGGACATTTCTTGTTCCCAGGAAGATGTGAGTATGACCTTCTGTTCTCGATCGCTTTAACGGCCATTGTTCAGGTGTGAGAATGACCTTTTGCCCTTACTCTGTCAATTACTGTTTACTTCGTCAATCCCTCTGTTAGTTATTACTTTTTTCTTTTTTTTGTTTTTTTCGTCCAGCCCACACAGGGTGTCTCCATCTGGTCGTTATACCAATCAGATACGTCCTCCTGGACAATCCCCCCCCCCCCCCCCCCCCCCCCCCCCCCCGGCCGCCCAAGAAGATGTATCTGTATTAGATCGCCTTAACGACCATTGGTAAGGTCTGAGTATGACCTTTTGCCATTATTCACTTTTATCAAGCCCTCTGTCAATTATGTCTTTTTTTTTCCTTATTCTTTCCAATTTTGTCCATCCCTCTGTGCCAGTTATTACTCTTTTTTTTTTTAAATGACTTTGTCCGGCCCCACACAGGATGTCCCCATCTGGTCGTTATAGCAATCAGATACATCCTTCAGGACATTTTCCCCCACGAAGATGTATTTGTATTCGATCGCCTTAACGACCTTGTTAAGGTGTGAGTATGACCTTTTGCTCTTTTTTTTTTTTCCAAGCCCTCTGTCAATTCTCTCTCTCTTTTTTTTTTCAAATTTATCCATCCCTCTGTTAATTATACTCGCGAGTGTGGCACCAGCGTTCTCCTTTGCTCCTTCGTTGAGGCCTTCCATGAAAAAAAATAAAAGAAAATAATAATCAAGGGTAATTGTAGTGAAGAGAATATGGATGTGAATAGAAGTCGATGAATTTTGATGAAACAACGAACGAAAACAAATGGCAACGCCTTTAGTAATGGACATAAAATTAAAAATGGATCTTTTAGGGTCACTTTCGCTGGTGATCTGATGCAGGTGGCACTGCCTTTTCGATTTGCCGTTCAGGGTTTTCGCAGGCCTTTTTTTCTCTGAAGGCCATTTTTTGGTTGGATTATTATTTGTTATGAAGGGTTTTTGACATTTTGTTGGTGATCTGATGCAGGTGGTACTGCCTTTTTCGATTTGCTGTTCAGGTTTTTTTCCAGGTCTTTTTTTTTTTCCATCTCTGAAGGCCATTTTTGGTCGGATTATTTTTATTATCAAGGGTTTTGTGATCGACGACCGGTCGTACCTTGGCTACTGTTAGGAATCTCTATCCATCGGCTACATCATCTTCAATGGCAGGTAAGTGGAGTTGTTGTCTGCTCGTCTGCACGTTTTTTTTTCGTTTCTTAACAAAAAAATGAACTGAGTTGTATTGCGTTGTGCGTTTTCTTTCAGGCCACCAATCAACCAATCAACCAATCAACCAGGCAACCAATCAACCAATCAACCAATCAACCAATCAACCAATCAACCAGTCAGCCAATCAATCAATCAATCAATCGATCAACTAATCAATCAACTAATCAATCAACCTATCAACCAATCAAGCAACCAATATTTGTAGCCAGGTCATCATGTGACATCTGTCATGAGACAGAGCTCTTCCTTATTGAAGTATGTCATGCAACGGAAATAGTTTTGACCTGGCTGTTTTCCTTCTTTTTTCATAGTAAAAATATTGGACCGTTTCTCGATATATGCGTGTTTTAAAACCTTGCACAGGGGCCATGCTATCTCTGTACCGTTCCAATTTAAACGGATGCCCCGAAGGACAACCTGGCTCTATTGCTATTCAGGAAAGAAAGTAAAGTGATTTGTCTTCCTTCTTGACCGTGAACTCTCTTAGTTTCTGTACTGATTATTCAGTTCTCTATCCTTTTTTCTTTTTTTTTAGCAAAAACATTGTTACCAATTAGTTGCGAAATCGAAGGTCGCAGACTTGACCTCTCAATTCAACCCGGAGCGAAGTACCGAGAGCGTTAGTCAGCTCGTTTGGAAAAGACCATCATTAATTGTTTATTAAACTTTATTATTATTATTTTTGAATTTTATAACAATGTAAGAACTTCTCATTTCCAAAATACATTGGGGCCATCGTTTTCCGCAGACGAACAAGAGCCTTCCTCCGGATAAGATCCGTGGAGGTCTTGTCTTTTTTCTTCGTTGAGAGAACGCAAACTCTTGGGCAGATATACGGACTTGGATTTAATAGGTCTTCTTGCAGATCCCTAAGTTCTTAATACAGTAATTTACTACGAGACTATCAAGAGTAAGCGTGGTAACATGACTCCTGGGGCGAGGTCCCACTAGCAAAGAGGATTGGATCGAACGCCTGAATCTGGACGTGTTCGAGGAAAGGTGCAGAAAATCGAGATTGAACTGCTTTTCTGCATCTCTGCTTAGAACTCGTCCAGATTCAGGAGCTTAATCCAATCCTCTTTGCTGGTGGGACCTCGCTCCTGGAAAACTCCTGGAAAACTCCTGGAAAGGCGCGAAGCGCCAAAGGCTCCCACGGGCCGGCTTTTCTCGGGTTTCTTATGAGCTCCTCAAGCCTCTCCCACTTCCTGGGCGTCGAATATTGATGAAGAATATAAATATTTAAATATAAAGATTAAGATTGTTCTTTTGAAGTTTTGACAAGAATTCAAACAATATGATGAAAAGTTAGGCTACCAGCTGGGCCGCCCGGGTCCCGGGTGGCCAGCCCGTGCAAGGACCAGGGAAGGTCCCAGCAAAAAGGAAAAAAAAAGAAAAAAAAGGAAAAAAAAAGTATGTTATGCAGAAAAATAAACTGAACAACTATTGCCTCAGGGTCACATCGAAATTCTTCACCAAATTCAAAATAAAAAATACAAAAAAAAAATATATATTTTTTAAATTTTGTTAAATGTTTTTGGCCCGGCCGGGCAAGTTACCCCGGGCCACTCTGGTAGCCCAGATGAAAAGTAAGTTTATAGGATTTCTGACTGAAGGATTGGTGAAGATATAAATTCCCGTTCTCCTACCGTTGAATCATCATCAATTATTTAATATTTATATTACGGTTATTACCCCTTTGGCCATTTAACTTTTGACTTGTCGGGCCGCAATTTCGGCATTTATTGAACCGAAAATCTTCAGGTCTTGCCGGATCCCCGCCAGTCGGGATCGGCGCTGACGATTCCGGTTCAATTTCGGCATTTATTGAACCGAAAATCTTCAGGTCTTGCCGGATCCCCGCCAGTCGGGATCGGCGCTGACGATTCCGGTTCACAAAACGCTGAAATTACGGCCAGGAACGTCAAAGTCAAATGCCATAGCCAAATGAGTATTTTATCCCTTTTGCCATTTGACTATTGGTAGGAAATTGGAACAAATGCTGCACGTTTTCGTCATTGGTTGAACAACTTGAACTGATACGGTCACGGATGGGCTACTTTTACCGATGTCCTCCTCTTTTTTTTCTTTTGTCCTTTTTTCTTTCAAACAGTCAGTGTCTGATCTGTCTCTTATACACATCTAGATGTGTATAAGAGACAGGCTTAGAGCAGCCACGTATAGAAGGTCCACTTCCCCGGATGATGTTCCCACCGCCACAAGCGAGTCTCCCACACCCACTAATGGTGCCGCCACCCCAAAGAACTTCGGAGCTTCATCAATCCAACCACGAACTCATAACTTCAACAGATTAATTTCCCGGATATTACCGTAGATAATTCAGTGGTAAATTATGCGCAGGAGTTACCAAAATACCAGGGGTCGAGCACTGAACACTCCCCGTACCACTCAAGGCTTGGGTGACCCTATAACTCTATTTCCTGGGCTTACAGGACGACCACTTTTATGAGAACAACTACGATATCTCCCTGCACTATTCAAATACAGAAAACGACAGAAAAAACACAAGCAGATCAAAAATTAACTACGTAGGCAACTCTAAATTCCATAAGGTTCGGAACTTAGGGCAACCACGTAAGGAAGGACCGAATCCCAGGCAACGTTCCCACCGCCACTAGTGAGTCTCCCACGCTCACTAATGGTGCCGCCACTCCGAAGGACTTTGAAGCTTCACAGACCCAGCAAGGATCTCGTCCCTTTATCATAATGATTTCCCAAATACTAATTTCAGTGGTAAATTATGCACAGGAATTCCCAAAATATCCGAGGGTCGAGCGCCGAACACTCCCCGTACCACTCAAGGCTTGGGTGACCCAACAACACTATTTCCTGGGCTTAAAAACAACCGCTTTTACAGAATAAACTACGATGGGTCCTAATAGACAAGATACCCTAAAAAATTGCCAACAACAGAAAAAGTCTCAAGAACTTACCCCTTATAGAAACCCAACAAACTTCGAAGAGTATATTAATTTCCCCAAAACTGCCGTAGGTATTTTATCGGTGAATTATGCACAGGAATTTCCACGATAACCAAGGGTCGAGCATAGAACACTCCCCGTGCCACTCAAGGCTTGGGTGACCCACAGCGCTATTTCCTGGGCTTAAAGAGCAACCACTTTTACGAAATATACTACGATAAGTGTTAATAGGCAGACTGCACTGAAAATTCCACCAACAACAGGAACAATCCCGGGGGCTTCACATATATGCCCAAACAGACTTCAATAAATCTACACAATACAACATAAACAACAAAAGCAATTCCAAACTTCAACTACGTCACCAAATCTAAACTCCATAGGGCTACAAGGCCCAGCAGGGAACTCGTGTCTACAACATATTAATTCCCGGAGACTGCCGAAGATGTATACCTGAAGAGCAACGGGAACCCTGAACCTGAAGCAAATAAACAACATACTGTCATGCAACGAAGATAATCAATCGAAACTTGCTGCCGCCCTTCAATAGCCGGAACGCTGCCACCGCAGCCGCACGCTCTCCCACTGCGTCCAGATACGCCGCTCCGCTTTTAGTGAACAAGGCAGTCAAACTATCGTGTCATGCAGCGCGCGGTCAATAGATATTGAAAAAGGAACCCCCCCTGGTTGAGGGGAAGGCGGCGCCTCCGATATCAAGGTCTTATAGGTGTGTAGGTTGGTATGAGGATCGAGAGAGGAGCTGTCAGGATGTCATGGCGTAAGAGTGCAAAGGCAAGGGCACTGTCGCCATAGCTCTCACACAGCTATGGTGCCTGGCAGGGTAGGTGTCGCGTAAGAATGGTAGCACACGAAGCTCATGCGCCACACCTACACAGCCGCGACTAACTACGACCGGGCGCCGCCACCGCCGCTGCCGCAGCTGCGTTAGCGCACACTCGCGCGGCCACCTCAGATCGATCGCGGCCACTGAATTCTTTTTCGTTACTGGTCCAAATATAACCAAACTGAATACATGATTTACCGGGGCTGAGTCCCACATACACCGTTGAGCCAGTTCAACGTTGAACTAGCTCAACGTGTGTGATCCCATGCGACGTCTGAGATGCATCCGGATCTGCACATCCAGCGGTTGTTCCTAGGTGTATAAAATACAAAGACTTTCGTTTTCGTTTTTTGGTTCAAGAAAGGTGCTAAAAAATCCCTCCGCCCGAATACAACGCCCCCTACCCTGCCCATATTCCGTTGAACTGCATACCCCACTTGGAGTGGGGTATGGGTTCAACGGTGCTTGTGCCATCATGACCTTCTGTGGGAGGACACTCTGACAGCCGTGGGAGGACACTCTGACATTCTGTGGGAGGACAATCTGACAGAGTGTTCATGCTGTGTTTGGCTGTGCAGCCTTGAACTCGTTCCTGCGAAGGCACCAAGCCAGGAGTGCTGTCTACGTTCATTTCATTTTGTAGAGAGTCCCTGTCTCGGACGTTGCGTAGTATGTGGAGCCTTTCACTGAGGATTGGTGTATTTCCATTTTACTTTTTAGAAAATAGGGACAAAGATTTTAGTAGCATTTGGTTATTCATTGTTTTCTGGGAAATAGGGGGAAAAAAGCTTTCAGGAGCATTTGATTATCCTTCTTTGCCTTTGTTTTGAGTTTTTAAATCGCAAAAACTGTGTCACACCGTTGCGTTGAGCTAGTTCAACGGTGCATGTGGGACTTGGCCCCCGGGCAGCTCTGTTTGACTATATATACATACCCTAAAGCACATACATATAGAAAAAGCATGAAAAAAGAGCAAAAGTAAAGGCAATATGGGAGTTTCGGTGAAAAATTTCAGCAAAAATGACACCATCTATTAACCATGTGTGCTTGTATGATCTCTTTGCAGACGTGGCTTGCTCCGACGGACCGTCAGCAGATACGATGGAGAATGGCGGTGGTGTGAAAGCAACACCTCGGGTCCCGATCCCGGGATGCAGAAATGTTATGGTCACGAGCGCCTTGCCGTATGTCAACAACGTCCCACATCTGGGCAACATCATAGGATGTGAGTAAATACTCGATCATAAACGTCCTGATATGGGAGATTATCCTAGGAAATTGATTGATTCGCATGGAAGATGGTGATTTATTATTTATTATTATTATTACTTGTTATTATGAAGTTATGAAATTTATGAATGAATATCAAAATGATCGACTTGGAAATTTGGAATGTATATTATTTCGAATTCTTATTTAAAAAAGAAGATTGGTATGCATTTATGATTGGCATTGGTTTACGTGGAAAATAGCACTAGAAAAGTGAACATGGATTGTTTTATGAGATTGTTGATTGACTGTCTCGGTGGGACTATGTCACAGCTCCATGTTTCTTGTCCTTTTCTTCGTTTCTGTCCGTGGTTCACCAAGCAGTTCGCTATAATATACATATGTATATAATCTGTGGCCTGGGGGGTTTGCCCACAAGATGTTCTGTAGCAGATCTGTAGCAAGTAGCTACCGTGCAGGTCTGCCTGGTCCTTCTCTGTTTCTTTTTTTTTCGGTTTTTGTTTTCTTTCCCTTAAACCACCAGTAGCTTCCCCACCCAGTTCCAAACTGCACGCCAAATAAAAAAGGAACTCAGCCCCCCCCCCCCCYCCCCCCCYSSAAATCGCTGTTGCATACAAATGAGTAGGAAGGGGTTACAAAGGTACTGACTGGTGGTTTCAGGGAGTCACTCCTAATGTTATGTTATTGTGTTCAACCGCTTCGATCCGGGTTCTAAGTTCTAACTCGTTATTAGGTGTTTATTGACAGTAAAGTTCTGAGTAAACGTTTGTGTACAGTTCCGCCACATGGGTTGGGTTGGTCACTTCCTTTCTCAGATGATCAAGTAGAGTAGTACTAAAATATCCAAAGGCAAGTCCCATGTTATGTTAATGAAATGAAATTCCTAGGAGGCATGCTTGTGAGATGCTGGTCTGTGGGCTGCTGTGTGACAGCAAGCGACTCTGTAAGTCCCATGTTAATGAAATTCCTAGGAGGCATGTCTGTGATTTGCTGGTCCGTGAGCTGCTGTGTGGCAGCAAGCGACTCCAGTGTCCGGGGAGGTTGAGTCCGCAAACCATGATAAGAAAAAGAAATGGCTTTGTTATCCTCAAAACAAGTTCAGTGCTGTTCGAACTCGAGAGGTGTTTGCTGACGGATGTCTGGTGATTGATGTATTTGTTTGTTGGTCTGTTCGATCCGGTCTGTTCATCCGTTTGATCGTTCGGTTGTTCGTTCATTTATACCTTCTTTCGTTTGTTGTTCGTTTGTTCGTCGTTTTGCTCGCCGTTCTCTCTTGTTTGGTTGTTTGTTTGTTTGGTTGTTTGTTTGTTTGTTTGTTTGTTTGTTTGTTTGTTTGTTTGCTTGTTTGTCCTGCGCAGGTGTCTTGAGTGCTGATGCGTATGCACGGTACTGTCGCAGAAGAGGGTACAACACAATCTTCATGTGTGGAACAGATGAGTATGGGACGACAACGGAGACTAAGGCAGTTGAGGAAGGTGTCACTCCTAGAGAGATCTGTGACAAGTACGATTCCGAACCCTTGGCACATTATCTTTTGGGACTGAACATTGACATTCTTTCTACCGGATGCAGGCCAGGAAAGTCTCAGTGTGTCTGCCCCTAATCTGTCTGCAAACACAAAGGGGATGTCTCTATGGTCTTTGACTCTGTAATTCTTCAGAACCTCTCACTGTGGCCAACTGAAAAAAAAAGAAGCTGGATGCTTTGGATGGAGGTGCTTTCTGGTGCAATGGTACAAGATGCGCATGAACCAACCAGGCATACTATGTGCCGTTTGGCACAAGTGCCTCTTCAAGGAGGCGACTTAAAAAAACTCGTTCAGAACTAATTCTAATGTGTGTGTGTGTGTGTGTGTGTGTGTGTGTGTGTGCTGTCTCTTATACACATCTAGATGTGTATAAGAGA